CTCCTCCTCGGAGAGTTACGTTGATGGAGGTGGATTCGGCGGGTGCCTCTCCTAGTGTTGAGAGGGACGTTCTTCTGGGCTCTCCCGGTTGCTCCAATTTTACTCGGGATGAGGATAGAGTCGGCGATTTTTCTGACTCTGTCAGTTTGGTCTACAGTGTCTCGGCAGTGGGATGTGTACATTCCTCTGCCGGAGTCGGTGAAGGAATCAGCTCGTTGGTGGACCCTCGAGAGCAATGTCTTGGCAGGAGTTCCTCTGGTTCGGGCATCTCCTGCTATGACCCTTTACACCGACGCGTCCATGACCGGTTGGGGTGCATACCTTTCCAGTCAGACGTCGGCGGGGGTTTGGTCGGGGGAGCAGCTTTCAGAACACATCAATCTTCTGGAATTGCGGGCTGTTCTGTTGGCCCTTCGGGGCCTTCGACCCTTTCTGCAGGGCAAGGTTATTTGTCTGGCGACAGACAACTCCACTGTGGTGGCTTATCTGCAGCGCCAGGGGGTACCCGTTCCTCGGCTCTGTGTGCTTTATCCACCTAGGTCCTGTTGCTGTGTCAGGAGATAAGTCTCAATCTCACGGTTACGCACCTCCCAGGTCGTCTGAATGTTCTGGCCGACACTCTGTCCTGGTCTCGGAGCCCGGTTCTCACCGAATGGACCCTCAAGCGTAAGGTGTTCCGGTCTCTTCGCCTGGTTTTGGACAGACTCCATGTGGATCTGTTCGCCACGGCCTTTAATGTTCAACTCCCTACGTTTGTGTCTTCGGAATGTACGCGTATGCATTTCCTCCCTTCAATCTGGTGGGCAAGGTGTTGCAGAAGATTCTTCTACACCCTTGTACGGTGTTGCTGGTTGCACCGCTCTGGCCTCTGTTGCTTCAGCTTTCGGTGAACTTCCCACGCAGCATCCCACTCCATGGTATCTGCCGTCTCAACCGAGGTCCCGGCAGTTCTACTCGGGACCAGAACGGCTCCACCTTCACGGTTTGATGCTATCTCGGGAAGGCTCACTCAGACGGGCTTTTCTCGAGAAGTTGCAACTCGCATCGCAGGATCACTTAGACCTTCGTTTTCCGCCGTCTACCAATCTCGATGGTCCGCCTTCGGTGATTCGTGTGTCGGACGGTCGATTGATCCAGCCTCTGTTCCCGTTGTAGCCGACTTTCTTTTTGTCTCTCTTCCAGGACAAAGGTCTGTCTCCGGGAACTATTGCAGGCTATCGTTCAGCCATTGCTAGTGTGCTGGCTTTCGATGGTAGCAAGTCTGTGGACTCGGACGCTTCTTTTTCTGCTCTCATTAGGGGCTTCTATATTGAGAAGCCTCGTTCACGGCAATTGGTCCCTAGGTGGAATTTAGCACTTGTGCTAGATTCCTTGTTGAGGGCGCCATTCGAGCCCCTCCAGTCGACTGATCGGAAGTTTCTTACTTTCAAGAATGTGTTCTTGATAGCCTTTGCTCCCAGTCGCCGCAGAAGCGAGATTCATGCTTTCAGCAGATCTCTGTGGCGACCATCTCGCGCTGGATTGTTCAAACTGTTCGAGCTGCGTATGAGTCGGCAGGGGATCAGTCCTTGCGGGTGTCAGGGGTTAGGGCTCACGTGGTTCGCGCTTTAGCTACTTCGTGGGCCTTATTTAATGGTTCTTCTTACGCTGAGGTCATTACAGCTGCTGTTTGGAGGGGTCATTCTACGTTTACGGAGTTCTATCTCCTATCTTTGTCGGTACAGTCTGACGGGTTGTATTCTTTGGGCCCTCTTGTGGCCGCTCAATCCGTTGTCTGTCTTCACTCTTTTTTTGCATGAGCCTCATTATGTCTTCTCCGCGTGATCCGGAACGCTGGTCGTAATCAGGCTCGGTGTCACAAAAGAATTCGCATTATCATGACAGTGGTGACGTATTTTGAAATAGAATTGAGGTTTCTCTTGTGAAACCAATTTCTATTATAAATACTTACCACAGTCATTAGGTGAGTTCCCTCCCATCTCCCCTTGTCTCCTCGGCTCTCAGTTTTGTTTTGGGCTTTGGAATTATGAAGTGGGAAGCATAGCTTCGTGTCTGATCACGTGCGTTAATACTGCCGTCTGATTGGTGGGGTTTTCAAGGGGTTCCCCAGGGGGGGGGGGGGGGATTCTTTATTTACGTATGTAAAGAGCCAAGTAGGATTGAAATATTTATAATAGAAATTTGTTTATTTACCTAATACGAGATGGAATATACTAATTTTCACCATCATAACAGTAACAGACAGCGACAACGAAACACGCCTTGGCCATCTCGGTACCATAAGAGGATTAATTGATTCATTATTGCCGGGCGTGGCGAAATACGTGCAATGACATGTTTATGAAGGGCGGATTACGAAAATTATCGATCTAAAAAACCCACCTCTTCAATCTGTTACGGAGTGTTCTCGGGAGCCTTATTCATTGTGGATTGCTTTCTCGTTTTAAATATTTGGCTCATTAGGGGAGTAGGTAATTATTTTACAACTGGTAATAATATAACTATGTTGGCAGGAAGGGTGACAGTCGTGGTGGACGTACAATGCATTAGTTTTTCTATTTTTCTCTTTAAGGACGTGTCATTACTTTTGAACGTTCATGGTGGGTGGTGCCGTCAACGAAGCAGACGACGCCGTCGATCAACCTCCTGCAACATCTTCAACATAGTTATCTTTGTACTTTTTCAAGGGTCTCCATGTAAATATTTCGTTTTGAAGTTTTGCCATAGCACCAACAATTTTGAGTTGTAATATTAATTATGTTTAGTAGTGCCCGGGTAGAAAATGTTCCTTTTTCTATTCTACTCTAATTAGAAACCTGGGATATGTATACTTTCTTTTCCTGTGAGGATTATTACTGTTTTATTATTAATATATGTGATTATCTCCCTTAACTTGTAATATAATATGTTATTTTTACATATGTTTGCCGCAATAGTACCTCTCAAGAGCTAATGTTCCTTGTTTACATGTATGCGATGTTAAATAAAGTTTCTTGTATCTTGCATCTTTTATCTTGTACTCTATATGAGAAAGTTGCTAAAGTCGTTTAAAATACGGTATCCATTTTGCAATGTTGTTGTAACTGTACCTGCAAGAACATGGTCATTATGGCAGTATATAGACACTTAGGTAAAGGGAAAACACTCTACTGTTGTAACTACTTTGGCAGAATACGGCAACAGTCTTGGTAGGAATAGGGTAAGTGTGTAAGCAGTGCGCTAATTATCTTTATAGAAAAGGGCAAACGCGGTAGGAAAATGGTAGTTGTGAGACTGGTAGGTTTACAACTCTGGAAAAAATATATTGAGTAGGATTGCTTGAACTATTAATGTAGGAAATAAGGTAGCTATTGGGCGAATGTTTTTTTGTTTAGTATTAAACATTTGTCACCACTGTTATGCAATGAAACATTCGAATCACATGTTGATTGTTATAACACCCATTTTATCATCACGATGAATAATACAACGATGACGTCATATATTCATGGCATTTTCAAAACTGTTCTCTTGCCTTTTTTAGTTTTTTGAGTCTAAGACACATTGTAAAAGACTCAAATTCATTCCATCTGATTTTTGTGAAGTCCGCTTAAGTTTTATTTCTTAAAACAATTATCTTGCTGAAGATGAAAAAACGGCTACTTGCAGAATGCTTCAATATCTGTTACCTATTTTTGCTTTTTCACAGATTTCTGTTAGAATTTGCGTTTATCTCCACAAAAGCAGTAACGATATTTGTATGCTTTACAAAACTTTCTAGTCAAATTATAAAGAGCAATTTAACTAAAGAAGTTATAAACTACAGGATACATCGACAGAGAACTTAACACTTATCTTACATTGTCTATACAGATTAGAGACCTACATACACACATACAAACTAATACGTGTGCACACTCACACAAGATGCCTACTTTCCTAAACGCTGACCATCAATGTTGATACGTATCCCTAGCGCGTACATATCCCTTCATTAATAAATTTAACTCAATAAACATATTTAATACATGCTCAGTACTGAAGTTGACCAGCTTATGTTTATTCACTGATATCAGGATGGCCATGACATTATTTACAATGCTAAGATTCCGATACATGGTACATTTCCTTACGTATTCACCACACTAGCGGCTGTAGCGAATCGAAGGCCGTTCAAGTGTGTAATTAAAGGTAGGGTCAACGCCTTTGGATATTTAACATTAGCGTCGGCCCCTGCTTGGAATTTCAAAACAAGATAAATACAAAAAGTTATGGGTATATGAAGCTTAAATCAGGAACAGTTATTTTCAGAATTCATTTTATGACAAATGGGACTTCATTGACTTACACCTGTGTGAGTGTTAAAGGTGCGGTAATACAATTCCTCCTAAAGCATTTAAATGACCCAAATACCTTACAATTATATCATCATCGTGTGCAATATATTCCATCTGTTATTTTGATACCAAATATTACACTATGTCAAGTAAGAATTGTTCTCTTTATTGAATATTAAAGCAGAAAAGTATGTGAAATTTCATTACTAATGAGAAAATTTCCTTTTTTGACACGTAAATTTTCATAGTTCAAGGTCACAAAATCAAATTTGCTAGAATAAAATGTTTGTATTGGGAGTCAGACAAGGATATCTTTCTTAGCTTCATTTGTTTAGAGAGTTGACGATATAAAATAATGTAATATTCCCTCATATTTTGATTAGTGAATGGGCAATAGGCAAAATAAAATAATAACTAGAACTGTAAGTCAAAGGTTAACTAATACCACCCGCTCCTATATAAAGAAGAACTGTAAGCAAAGGGCTAACTAAGACAAAGCATTGTAAAGCAATCCATAGTCACCCATCGGTAACTATTTAAGTATATAGGTCACTGACATACTTTCTGTACTCCCTCCCAATACCAAACATTCTTACATACCAAATTTTGTTAGCCCAGATGTACCAGTTTTGCTGAAATCGTCCTAGTAGTTAAGAAAGAGTTGTCAAGACAAAGTTTTAACAAAGGGCCATAACTCCTTAAATATGGTCAATATGAAAAATACCACCCTGATGCACGACATCGGTGGATAATTACCATATCTGTAAACTTTCATTGAAATCGGCCCAGTAGTTAATGAGGCAGACAAAGGCTGTTTTCAACAAAGGGCCATAACTCCTCTTAAAGGGTCGGAATGAAAACGTGCTACTTGGATGCACAATGTCAGGGGGCAGTTACCATATTTATAAACTTCCGTTGAAATTGGCGCCATAGTTTTGGAGGAGTTGTCTGGACAAGTTTCTTTCAACAAAGGGTCTTTTCTCTGTAAAACAAGAAGGGATTAGATTGAAAAAAAACCAATACCTGTATGCACAACACCAGGTAGTAGTTATCATATCTGAAAACTTTCGTTGAAATTGACCCCTTGGATTTGGAAGGCTTGTCCGGACAATGAATTTTCAACAAAGGGCCATTACTTTGTAAAACAAGTGTCAGAATGAAAAGAATAATACCTGCATGCAAAACTTCAGGTGGTAGTTATCATATCTGGGAACTTTTGTTGAAATTGGTCTATTACTTTAGAAGGAATTGTCCGGACAAACTTTTTCTTTGGACAGACAGACGGACGGAGAAGCTGATTCCAGTATACCACCCTAACTTCGTTGCGGGGGGTACACTTAATTGTATAATAGTTTTATTATTAAGATTATGTTATTATTTTTATATTATAACAT